ACTTCCCTTGCGAATTCGTCTCGCTCTTCGTCCTGTGTCAATCTATGCTGGCAGTCAACTCAGTCACCGATTGTGCTCTTCACATGATTGAAATACTACGAAAGCAATTTTTGGATACAAATCTTCATGCAACGTCACCAGCTCAACAGGTTGCTCCGATTGTTCAGATGAGAAATCAGGCGGATGTGATTACGACTGTCTACAATGGAGGTCACATTCTTCCCATCGAACAACAAGACGTTTGCACTNGTTTAGCCNATTCTCCCCCCGCGCACTTTGAAAGGGACGGCAAATCGCTGCCAAAGAAAATAAAGCGAACGGAAAAGACGAAAAGAATGAATAGAGGGCTTTTTGCATAATAGAGAAGACAAGCTAGCAGAATACAAAAAATCCAATCATGCGGAAATAAAACTTTTTTCTTTGAATGTCCCAAAAGTACAAGAACGTTTACAGCTTAAAGAAAACTTACAAATTTTGAACTTGTCGCCTCCTTGATCTGGTTCGGAAATCGCTCGGGTTTCAATGGTTCTGAAAATTTTGATTTTTCTGGAATTTCAGGCTAAAAGGATCCCTAGAGATCTAAAATATCCAAAATATCCAAAATCATAGATCCTCGGAATCTCAGAATCTCAGAATCTCAGAATCTCAGAATTTCAGAATCTCAGAATCTCAGAATCTCAGAATCTCAGAATCTCAGAATCTCAGAATCTCAGAATATCAATCTCAGAATCTCAGAATATCAATCTCAGAATCTCAGAAACTCAGAAACTCAGAATGGAGTCCTAAGGATCCTCTAAGACTTCAAGTTTCTAAGCACCCAAAGAGTCCAAATGGCCTGGAAACCCAAATCTGTGATTTTCTAGGCCACTCTGGAAATTTCTAGGTCACTCACTTTGGCTCATCTGCCGTCACATCGATGGCATCTTGTGCGTAGGTGATTCCGAGGCACACGACGGCCAAGAAGAGTAACCTCATTTCCTGAAAATTGTAAAAATTGAGAGTTGACTGAAAATGGCTGAAACAAGTTTCTGGATGTTTCCTTATCAAATTAGATCCTCAAAAAATAAGGGATGGGTATCAAAAATCTTGGCAGCGAAAAAGTGAAAAAACGAGATATCAATGATTGTGTCGAAGGAGATAAAAAAAATTAGGAAGGAGGATAAGAAGGAAGGGGGAACTGGATTTCGTCCTATCATTTTATCAGTGACCACAGGTTTTCTCGATAGCCTCCAAAGACAACCCAAATAGTGATCAACACTTCCGTGATTAAAAATGCAGGGAGAGAAAATTGCGACACAAAAAAGATTCGAAGAAATGCTGAGGGGAAAAGGGGGATGGCAGATTCAGAAGGCAAAGGGGGCGGAGCCTAGGGGGAAGGTGGACAAAAGTAAGACTGTGAACTTGAATGTGAAAGCAAATGAAGTTTCGAGAAACTTCCAGAAGGTGTTACACAGTTAATTGGAATTCCATAGACTCCCTTTGTTTCCTTTTTTCCCCCAAGAAACGAACCTTATGGAACTTTGGAAATGGGTGTCCAACTTTGAGTATAGAAATAATGTTGTTGCCCCATATATCTCCGTTACTATAAGAGATATCAAAAAGTGGTCAACTAACAAAATATTTCTAGAATTATGATAAACATTTTGTTAGTGACTACGTTTTGATATCTTTCACAGAAAATGAGATAAATAGGCTCAAAGTTGATGGTTTGAGGGACCTCCTTAACACGCCATGTTGGTGCACATTAAGGGTTGGTTTCCCATGACGACTTTTCTGTCAGTTTCTCGTTTTATTGACTAAAACATTCTGAAACAGTGATTCATTTTCCTTTAAGACAGTTATGACAAAATGAAGCAGTTTTTTTTTCAATTTTCTGTAATTCAAAAATTTCAAATCAACTTTGAGGACACTAGCTAATTACTTTTTTGGATAGTTTTCTATTTTAAGTCAAAATTGGAGAGTAATTGAATTTTTTGATTGAAAAAAAACCGGATGGGAAAGGCTTTTTGGTTGGAAATTGAAATTACAAAACGAGAAACTTGAAATTTGGGTTAATTGAAAACTGACTACTTGGGAACTGGCAACTTCGAATCATCAATTTGAAAAAAAACTAACTAAAACTAGAAAATCGAAAAGTTAACATTTCAAGCTACATTTCCGTCCAAAAATCAACGTTCTAGCTCATCTAGAACTCGAGATACAGCCATTTGAAGTTTATAAAGTGAGAGGCGCAGACAACGAGACACTCTAACTGTCTGCGTCTCTTGCCGGTTTTCAATTTTATAGAAACTTGAGAATCTAAAAATAAAAATGCCTATCTACATTTTGGTTCAAAAATTAGCTTTCTAGCTCATATAGAACCCGAAATACGGCTATTTGAAGCGAGAGATGCAGACAACGAGACACTCCAACTGTCTGCGTCTCTCTCCAACTTAAAATGCTTGTATCTTGGCTTCTAGAATAGCTAAAAAGTAGATTGTTCGACAAATTTGTAAAAAAAAGCAAACACTTCTAGCGTATAGCTTATTTCTTCAAATTGTAACAAACTTTTTCTAAAATTGCCATAATTCTTCACTTCCTTGTCACGTCGTCTGCTTTGTCTCCCTCCAACAACGCCAAAAAAAATTTGCTTATCGAATTCAATGATATCAATTTATCAATCGGAAAAAAAGAGGACAAAAAAAGTGTCAGAACTAGAGAGAAAGCGAGTCCGTTTGACAAGAGAGAGGGACCGGTTGTCGGATAGATTTCTTGTGGAAACATTTTTTTTTTTGAAACACAAAATTATTATCATAAGCTGATAAGAATTATCATAGCCAAAGTTTCGAAGGAAAGTATTACTGTAGATTTTTGATCTACCAAGGCGGGCGAACATCATATCTGACTAGTCGTCCGTTATGATAGCTAAACACAGACATCGCAAACTTTCTTATTGCCAATACCCAAAACCCACACATACATAACTAACAGGCTTCCGACAAACTTTATTCTCTCTCTCTCTCTCTCTCTCTCTCTCTCTTTCATCCAAAAAGGGAAAAGCCACATTCCGTGAGGGTCATCACAAAAGGAACGGGATTTTTGTTGGATTCAAAAAGTAAAACTGCTTAGTGATTTGCATATTGACAAGTCTCCAACTGTGTGGGAACCAATTCCCCAACCTTCTAGCTTCTTGAAGTTTACCATATTAGAACAGAAGGATTTCATGAGAAATATGAAAAGAAGAAAAACCTTAATCAAGTTTGTGGCCTAGAAATCTGAATTTTGGATTTCTAGGCCACTCAATTTTGAAGTTATGATAGTTTAATTCAAAGTCAACAGCATGAACCAAAATTGTATTTCAAAAAATCCTATAGATAAGCGTTCGAAACAACCAATTTCGATCCGAGTTATGGTTAACTAAAGCTGGTGGCCTAGAAACCCTGACATTGGGTTTCTAGGTCATCTTCTCAATTTTAAATGGACTTTAAATAAATGAGATTTTTAAAGTTCTATCAATAACAATTAAGATCGTTTAAATTTCTCAATTTTGAACCAAGTTATGATGATTTAAATTTGGTGGCCTAAAAACCCAAATTTGGGGTTTCTAGGTCATCTTCACAGTTTCAAATTGTAGTAAACACCCCAAGATCTAAAAGATCTATCGAAACCAAGTTAGAAAATCAAGATTGCTCAAGTTTGAGCCAAGTTATGATCAATTGAAATCGGTGGCCTAGAAATCCGATGTTTTGGTTTTCTAGGCCACAAAGTTCAAATGGTCATAACTTGCTTAAAAGCTAGAGTTTTGAATAAAACAATCAAGGTTACATATTTCATTTTGAACTTAGTCGCTTAGGAATTAAAGTTTAGGACCCTGAAATTCTGAGATTCTTGAATTTCCAGATTTCTATAAATTCGGAATTGGAAGTTTTTAAAAATTCCAATATTTAAATTTTGAAAAATCCTGTTTTAAGAGGTTTTTTCAAAGCAAAAATCGATTCAATTTTAGCCAAGTTGTGACCATATCAAGTCTGTGGCCTAGGAACCCAAATTTTGAATTTCTAGGCCACCATTTTCAAATAATCATAACTTGCTTCAAAGTTGATGGTTTTGAATAAAACAAACATGAATTTATAGCTCGCTTCTAGCTCTTCAAAAAACTACCAAATTCTGATGGCCGAGCAATTCGAGATTTGGATTTCTAGGCCACCAAAGTTAAAGTGTTTAAAACTTGTTTCAAAATCGTCTATTTGGTTTTCAAAATCCTACTCAGTTTTTAGGATTTCTAGGCTGCCAATTGGTTTTTTTGGTAATGTTGAAAAGGTTTAGAAATGATTTTATCTTCAAGGATTTTCGAGAATTTGAGGTAATCGTGTTCCCAAATCTCGCTCTTCAACTTATCTAATTTTCCTGAAGGTCATTTGCATGTCTTTTGCCAATGCAAATAAGAATTTTCGAAAAAAAAGAGACTAATCGCAAAAGAAAACAAAAGGAAAACTTTGAAAAAGTTCGCCATGGGGGTCTGTGGGAATTCTGTCTGAGAATCCAGTTGGCAAGGAAATGGTCGTGTGGCCGGGAACTATAAGAGATAAAAGAAAGAAGAAGCGAAAAAAGTTTTCGTGTCATTTCGTCATGCGTGTTACGTAAATGCGATTGATGGATTTGAGGGAAAAGACTAGCCTCTTCGTTTATCTGAATGCTGTTTTCCCTGTTTGTCAGGATTTAGCTGAAGAAAGATTGAAGACAAGGTTAGGGGGAAAGTTGGAAAGTCTAGGAATCTGGAATCCGGGATTTACAGAAGGATTCTAGAAGTCAGCATCTGAAAATCCGAAGGATCCTGAGCAAAGACTAGGAATCAAGGAGTCTTGAATTTCAGAGCTCAGGGCTCTAGAAATTCAAAAAAAGAGCTACACTGTTGATTTATTTTTGAGATTCTGAGATTCTGAGATTCTAAGGTTCTGAGATTCTGAGATTCTGAGATTCTAAGGTTCTGAGATTCTGAGATTCCGGGTTTCTGAGATTCTGAGATTCTGAGATTCTGAGATTCTGAAATTCTGAGATTATAGGGTTATGAGATTTTAAAATTCTATGATTCTGAAATTCTGAAATTCTGAGATTCTGAGATTCTAAGTTTCTGAGATTTTAAGGTTATGAGATTCTGAGATTCTGAGATTCTGAAATTCTGAGATTCTGAGATTCTGAGATTCTGAAATTCTGAGATTCTGAGATTCTGAGATTCGGAGATTCTGAGATTCTCAGATTCTGAGATTCTGAGATTCTGAGATTCGGAGATTCTGAGATTCTGAGATTCTGAAATTCTGAGATTCTGAGATTCTGAGACTATGAGATTCTGAGATTCTGAGATTCTGAGATTCTGAGATTCTGAGATTCTGAGATTCTGAGATTCTGAAATTCTGAGATTCTGAGATTCTGAAATTCTGAGATTCTGAGATTCTGAGATTTTGCAAAGATTGATAAGATTCTAGAATTCTAAGAAAATAGAAAAATTATGATTCTGAAGAGTGCAGAAATCTAAAAGGTTTTATATAGTAGGTTCCAATTTTCTGTACCATGCGAATTAATTTTTTTTTCTTGAAATAGTGAAAATATGGTAAGGGTCAGAGAAAAAGGGACAATGGTCTGAAAAAAGTGAATGCGATTAGTATAAAGTGGAAAGTTCTGGAAACGTTTAAAATGGTGTCTGGTGTTTTTGAAAAGTTTTAGGAATACCATGGTTCAAATAATTCTTTTGAAATCGTGCAATTTCTGAATGAAAAACCTGTATTAGAATGACCCCTCTAATCGAAGAAGTATTAGCAAAGCCGGCCTTTCTAATACAGGTTATACGGTAATTCGAAAAAGTTTCAAACAATCAAAAAATGCTGAGAAGTCCAAAAAGTTACAGGATTGATGAAAATTTCAAAAATGTGAAATTCTGGAAACCCTGAAAATCTTAAAATATTCAAACTCTTGAATAATTTTGGAATCTTAAACTTATTAGATTTCCAGAATAATTTCAGAATTTCGAAAATCCCAAGAATTCCTTAAAATTGTAAGAATTCTGAATATCCTAAGAATCCTAAGAGCCCTACAGATTCTCTGAATCCTAAAAACCTTACTAATCCTTAAA